GTTTACAAGCAATGGGAAAGATTTTAAAGGAAGGAAAATGGGTGCCATGTCAGCTGAACAAAAGACAAATGGAAAACCGAAAAGTCATAAGTAAAATGTTGCTTCAACGGCATGAAAGAAACTCTTTTTTTGCATCGAACTGTGACTAGTGATGAAAAGTGGATTTATTTTGAGAATCCCAAATGCTCAAAATCATGGGTTGATCCAGGTCAACCATCAACATCAACTGCAAGGCCAAATCGCTTCAGAAAGAAGACAATGCTCTGCGTTGGGTGGGATCAGGAAGGTGTGGTGTATTATGAGCTATTAAAAACAGGTGAAACCATTAATACTGATCGTTACCAACAACAAATAATCAATTTGAACCGCTCTGATCGTGAAACGACCAGAATGGGCCAGAAGACACGGCAAAGTAATTTTGCTTCATGATGACGCACCATCACACACTTCAAAACCAGTTAAAGACACATTAAAAGATCTTGCCTGGGAAGTATTAACCCACCCGCCGTATTCACCAGACCTTGCTCCTCCAGATTACCACTTGTTCCAATCGATGGCACACGCACTTTCTGAGCAGCACTGCAAAAACGTACGAAGAAGTGGAAAATTGGGTCGCTGAATGGTTTGCCTCAAAACAAGAAAAGTTCTATTGGGACGGTATCCACGAATTACCTGAAGAATGGGGGAAATGTGTAGCTAGCAATGTTTTGAGGCAAACCATTCAGAGACCCAATTTTCCACTTCTTCATATGTTTTACTTTGAATAAAGCACTTTTGATGTTTATCTTGAAATTATTGTGTTTTCTTTGATTACAAAATCCACATTATTAACCGGTACACCTGGTAAATCTAAGTATTAACTAGAGAGTAAAATGTCCATATCTTATAACATCACCCAGAGTAAGAACACTGTGGGCAAATCTCTGACCAGTATCCCTTTGGCCAAATCTGGGTTTTCCCCCTATATTCTTCTTCTCTGCCTCGATCCTTTTCCCTTGCCCTCACTTTTCTTCCAATTATCTATATATATAAAAAGCCAGTGTCCAGGATGACCAAACAACCGGTCACCATAAGGTGGCACTGACCACCTCTTGGTCCCTCCCACCCCCCCGCCCACAAGCGGGGTGGGGTGGGACTGGGGACTGGCGAGCGGGCTGAATGGCTGACCTCTTGGTCCCTGCCCCTGGCCCGCAGGCTCCGATGGATCAGCGATGGTGAACAGGGGAATAGGGGTGGGTGGTGGGAGGACCGGACTTGGCTGTCAGACCGTTGGGATCACCAGCTCATCCCTGGCTGCTTGGGGGCTCAGGCCTGTGGGAAAGCAGGCGCCACACAGCATCCATCAGCGCCTCAAGCCCCAACAGCAGCGGCAGCAGTGGCGGCGCCTGCGTGAGTGGCTCCAAGCGGGCAGCGCGTTCCATCAGCAGCCAGCCCAGCACACAAGCATGGAGGTGAAGTCGCTGGCACCTGCTTTCCCGCAGGCCTGAGGCCCCGAGCAGCCGGGGATGAGCTGGTGATGCCAACGGCCTGACAGCCCTGCAGCGGAGGCAGCAGAGGACTGGGGACTGGCGAACGGGCAGAAGATGGCCCTGATCGCAGGAGGCTATGCCTAAGGACCCTACCCGGACAATTTCATGCACTGAGCCTCTAGTAATAAATAAACACTTTGGACATGTGGGCTGCAGCTGTTGTGGCATATTGTGTCCTTCCTACCAAAGACTTTTATAGATAAAATGTTTCCTTTATAAAATGGTTTTGGAAAATGAAAAGCCTTAACACTATTCAATGCTATCTATACCTAGAACCTTCTGAATATTTCAGCTTTAAATACTAATCCCTGCTACCTTGCTCCTTTCATTATTAGGTCCTTAATCCGGTCACACAAATCATTGTGATCTCCTTAGGTTTGCAATGAGCATTAAAGTTAAGCTCTTATTGCATACTAGAGGCCCGATGCACAAATTCGTGTACTCATGGGGGGGCGGGGGTTCCCTCAGTCCAGATTGCAAGAGGGCACAGACCAGGCCAAGGGACCCCACTGGTGCATGATCGGGGCTGAGGAGGGATGTGGGAGGGCTGCAGGCCGTGTCCAGCCCGTCTTGTTCAGTCCTCATTGGCCAGACCCCAGCAGCAAGCTAATCTACCGGTCAGAGCATCTGCCCCATGGTGGTCAGTACACGTCATAGCGAGGGGTTGAGCAGTCTTAGCATATCATTAGCATATTATGCTTTTATTGGTTGAATGGCCAGCCGGATGACGGGACACTTAGCATATTAGGCTTTTATTATATAGGATTTTGGGAAGGACTTTTTCCTTCAACTGCAGTTTATTGTAAAGAGGCTTGGACTCCTTCCTTCTCAATATTTTCATACTTCAGATACATAGGTCATTTCTCCTGGTTTATTTTCAATATTCCAGTTTAAATTTGAGAGATAATTCATTTATGTCCCTCAACTTCCTCATTACTATACAAATCCTATATAATAAAACCCTAATATGCAAATTGACCAAACAGCAGAACGACCGGTGGAACCACCAGTCACTCTGATGCACACTGACAACCAGGGGACAGATGCTTAACTCAGGAGTTGCCCCTGACTGGGGGCAGCTCCTGAGTTAGTTGTCTGCCCCCGAGAGGGAGGCGACTGGTGGCGGTGATCAGGGGACAGAGCCGGCCAGCAGGCGGCGCCAAGCCGCCAGCCAAGGTGGGTGCCAGCAGGCCCCCCCCCACATCACCCCACCCGCAGGTCGCTCCACAGATGGCCCTGATTGCCGGCCAGGTCTAGGGACCCTACCCTATATATTGGGAACAGTCTCTTAGATTTAAAAATTAAAACCTGGCAAGGCTACTCTAACACTGAAAAAACAGGATGATGCAGCTATGACATGCATGGTGGCTTGTACATTTTGTGGTCAGCCCTGATTCTGACACTTATAACTGTGTGACAAAGCCAATTACTTAACTTCTCTCTGCTTCAGTTTTTCCACCCATAAGATGGGGAAAATGGTACTATTGCCTCAGAAGGATCATGTTATGTACTAATTTTTATAATCAGGGCAAAAAAATGTAGCTGCCCATACAACGGAAAAAGCATCAAAAAGCTAGAATTCTAGTCAGTCTCTTCTCTCTAAGGGATATCTTCTAATGAAGGGGAAAGCCTTTTAGAAGGGATAGGCCCAGCCTTTCAATTTATCCAAGCTTAACATTTTAATCAATGTTTATTACAGTTCTTAAAATTTGGCTCCTATTGCCTGAAAATACTCACACAAACTTTAAAGGACACTATCAATGTTCCCAAGGGCAAGACCAGAATGTCAACACTCATGAGTGACTAGGAACAATGTTCGTGTACACACATCACAGCAGAAAAGTTGTCATCCATGTCAGTCACTAGTCACCACAGTAAGGTGGGTTTTTTAAATTGTATAATCACTTTTGAAATTAGCATAGGGAAAAAAATATATCTTAAACACTGCTCAAATTATTCAAAATCTTCAAATCAAAGAAGAGTCCCATTTTCACACATACCATGCCTACAATCTTCATCAGCTTGTCCATACTTTTTCTGCAAAATAAAAGATATGAGATGAATATCATTAAGTAGTTCAAGGGCTGCTTACAATAGAGATTTTATCAAAAAAAAAAAAAAAAGCTTGGCTTTATTTCAAAGTTTAAGCATTAATGTTGCAAATTTAATATTCACAGAGCAAAGCTAACTCATGTGCTCTCTGAGGATTACACAATACTCTACAAATAAATACCACAATATACTTCCCTAGTCCATTTACTTACACTCCTGCTTCTTACTTTCTCTAACCTCAAATCACCAGAACCTCCTGAGCCCCTCATTCTTATTCTCAGCTAGTGACTTTACTGAGAAAACCATAGGAACGAGAAGAAAATTTCCGCAGACTATCACTACCACATCTACCCATGTCCTAGCACACTCCATCTTCCACCTGTTACCAGACGAACCCCCCATGCTCCTTTCTAGAGGCCATCCTACCACCCATGGAGATGTGATCTCTGGCCCAGTGAAGAATATCACTCCAGCAAGCCTCCTCTATTTCTCCTATGTCACTAATTTTTTGCTTTCTACTGATTCAGTCCTATAAACAAACATACTGTTATTTCTTCCATCTAAAAAGAAAAATCATTCTCTTGACTTCACTTCTCCCACCAGCTACCATTCCATTTTTTTTGTGCCTCTCTGGGGCAAAATGTCTCAAAAATTGTCTATAATTATGTATTTAAATTCCTTCCCTCTGACTCTCTCATAAATGCTCTTTAATAAGACACTCATCCACTGCTCTATGGAACAGCAATGGACCCTGATGAACATTCCCTTGTTTGGATACACTTTCTTTACTTAGCTACCAGGACACCATACTTCTCCTAGTTTTCATTTACCTCAACGTTGCCCTTCAAGCTGCTTTGCTTGTTCCTCTTCTTCTCAACCTCTCAACAGTGGAGCCACAAGACTAAGTCCTTGGTATTCTCCTCTTCTCTATCAATACTCATTCCCTTGGTGATGTGACCCAGGCTCAAGACTTTATATATCATGCATAGGCCACAACTCTTCAATTAACTATCTTTAGCCCAGACTTCCCTCCCAAACTCCATACCTGCATATTTAGCTACTTGTTCAACATCTCCAGCTGGATATCTAAACAACATCTCAAACTCAGTATGTTCACAATGAATTCTTCCCTCACAGAACCTGCTCCCCACCTATAGCCTTTTCATCTCAGTTGAAGGAAAATCCATTCTTCCAATTGCTCAGACAAAAAATGTCATGGTAAGTAATCTGTGACTGTTCTGTATGCCTGACATTCAATATATTAGGAAATTTTATTGGTTCTAGTTTCAAATTGTAACCAGAACAAAATCACTTCTCACTATCTCCACTGCTACCATTTTGGTCTGAGCCACTGTAATCTCTGGTTTGGATTATTCCAATACCCTCCAAACTAGTATCCCTGCATCTACTCTTCCCCCTTTATAGTCTACTAGAGGCCCAGGGCACGACATTCACGCACTGGTGGGGTCCCTCAGCCCGGCCTGCGCCCTCTTGCAGTCCGGGACCCTTCAGGGAATGTCCGCCTGCCGGCTAAGCCAGGAGTCAGACATCCCTCTCCCAGTCCAGGGCTCTCGCAGTCCGGGACCCCTAGCTCCTTACTGCCCACCTGCAGCAGAGGCAGGAGAGGCTCCCGCCACCAACACTGCGCTCCCCAGCTGTGAGCCCAGCTTCTGGCTGAGCAGTGTTCCTGCTGTGGGAGCACACTAACCACCAGGGGGAAGCTCCTGCATTGAGAGTCTACCCCCTGGTGGTCAGTGCACATCATAGCAACTAGTCATTCTGCCATTTGGTGGATTTGCATATTAGTGTTTTATTATATAGGCCTCGAGGCCCGGTGCACAAATTCATGCATGGTTGGGGTCCCTCAACCTGGCTGGCGAAAGAGGCCTATTGGGGGGTCAGCCAGCTGTGGGGAGAGACCCCGGGGGGTTGGCCGTCCAGCCCCCGAATCAAGGCCTATGGGGGGGTGGATGGTAGGGGGGAGGGACTGTGGGAGGTTGGCTGTGGGAGCGCACTGACGCTCCTGCGTTGAGTATCTGCCCCCTGGTGGTCAGTGCACATTATAGCGACTAGTCGACCGGTCATTCGGTCATAACGGTCGCTTAGGCTTTTATATATATAGACTCTCAACACAAAAGCCAGATAATTCCTGTTACATCAGATCATGCCACCCCTCTGATCAAAATCCCACAATAGCTTCCCATCTCAAATATAATACAAACTAGTCCTAGAGGGTCCCAGAGGATCTAGCCCTCTTACCCCCTTCCCCCAATGCACTTTACTCCAGCACAATGGCCTCCTAGCTGTTCCTCAAAGATGGCAGGCATGCTTATGCCTCAGGGTCTCTGTGCTGACTGTCCCTCTGCCTATAATGATCTTCATCCAGATTCCAATATGGCTCACTCCCTTACCTCCTTCATATCACCTTATTAATGAGCACTACCTGACCACCCAATTTAAAACTTCAACCTTAGCCCTGACCAGTGTGGCTCAATTGGTTGGAGAGTCTTCCCATACACTGAAAGGTCAGTACAATTCCTGGTCAGGGCACAAACCCAGGTTGCAGGTTCAATCCCCAGTCGGGGTGTGTGACGGAGGCAATCAATTGGTGTTTCTCTTTCACATCGATGTTTCTCTCTCTCTCCCTCTTTCCCTCTCTAAAATCAGTGAGAGCATGTCCTCAGGTGAGGATTACAAAATGATAATAAATATAAAAACTGCAACCTTATCCCTAACCCTAGTGGCCCCAATATTCCTTGCCCTGTTCTACTATTTTTCATGCAGACTGTTACTTTCTAACAATCTAAAGTGTTTACTTAGTTATAATGTCTCTAGCATTTATTGTCTATCCCCCTACTAGAAAAAGTACCATGAAGAAGGGATCTTTCTTTATATTTTTTTACCAACGTATACCAAGCACTTAGAACAGTGTCTGACACATACTATGTCCTCAATAAATACTTGTTAAATGAATGAATACTCGAAAGTGCTAGGTACAAATTTCAAGATTTAAAAATACAGTTGCTTGCCATCAAAGATATCCAGCAATCACTAGCCACTTCAATCACCTCCTCAGCCCACATTTAAGTGACTTGTAGAGGGAGTGACCAGCAACAGTGCCCACTCAATGAAAAGGGCCATTTTACATGGTTTGGCACTGACTTATCAACACTGTTTACTTACCAGTTGCAAAAATGAGGCAATTCTGTAAAGAAGACTCTCAATTTTAATGCTTTCTATTTCCAGTGAACACGGCCCTATGAAGTCAGCCATGGAGTACTGGCCAAGAGAAAGAAGGGCCTCTGTGCAGTGCTTGAGGGCCATTTCATAGTCCTGCCTCTTGAGTGATTCACACGCTTGTTCACATGACTTCTCAGCTCTTCTGTCTTCCATGACTCAGGGACAAAAATCCTAAAGACGGGGAAAAAAACAAGTAAGAGAAGGTTTTAAAAACTTATTAATTATAGCCCTAACCGGTTTGGCTCAGTGGATAGAGCGTCAGCCTGCGGACTCAAGGGTCCCAGGTTAGATTCCAGTCAAGGGCATGTACCTTGGGTGCGGGCACATCCCCAGTAGGGAGTGTGTAGGAGGCAGCTGATCGATGTTTCTCTCTCATCAATGTTTCTAACTCTCTACCCCTCTCCCTTCCTCTCTGTAAAAAAATCAATAAAATAGATTTTAAAAAACAAAAACAAAAAACTTATTAATTATAAATTCTAATACCATTCCTGGCTCAGCTGGTTTAATTATCTATCTGAATAGTTATTCTCAACCAGCCTTTTGCTCAAGGTCACAGCTGAGCAGCTGTTAATGCTACAGAATCTATACTTCTCTTTTATATTTTATGAAGTCTTTAATAAGATCCAAGCAAAATATCAACCATAAATCAGGATCATACAAACAATACATCCAATTTATAAATGAGACAAATTTATAAATGAAACATGACTTTGAATATTGCAAAGTGCAACAAACCATAAAGGCTTTCCTCTTTTTAATCAGAAGGTGCAGGAATGTTTCATATCCAAACCTTCCAATTTCAGTTTTGTAATTCTGTGACTGTGTTTACAGAGAATAAAAATCTACACCATGTAGAATTTTTCCCACCAATATTAAAAAACTGGATAAAATGCAAATCTGAACTGCCTATTCAATTCAGCAAACATTTCCTGAGGCTAGGCCCTGTGCTAGCAGCACTGAATTCAAAGACAGAGCATGTCATCACTACTTTTAAGAAACTCAGATTCAAAACAGACATATAGATCAATGGAACATAATAGAGAGCCCAGAAAAAAACCTACGCCTTTTATGGTCAATTAATATTTGACAATGGAGGCAAGGACATACAATGGGGTAAAGACAGTCTATTCAAAAAATGATGTTGGGAAAATTGGACAGAAAAATGAAACTAGACCACCTTCTTACACCATACACAAGAATAAACTAAAAATGGATTAATGACTTACTTTTAGACTCAAAACTATAAAAATCCTAGAAGAAAACACAGGCAGTAAAATCTCTAACATTTCTGGCAGCAGTATTTCTTCTGATATACTGCCTCAGGCAAGAGAAATGAAAGAAAAAATAAACAAGTAGGACTACACCAAACTAAAAAGTTTTTGTACAGCAAAGGAGACCATCAACAAAATGAAAAGACAACCCACTATATGGGAGAATATATTCACCAATGATACATCTGATAAGGAGTTAATATCCAAATTTTACAAGGAACTTATAAAACTCAACACAAAAAATAAAATCCAATTTGAAAATGGGCAAAGGACCTAAATACACATTTCTCCAAAGAGAACCAACAGACATATGAAAGTTGCTCAATGTCACTAATCATCAGTGAAATGCAAATTAAAACCACCTCACACCTGTCAGAATGGCTACCATCAATAAATCAACAAACAGCAACTCTGGCCAGTGTGGCTCAGTAGGTTAGGTGTCATCCCCTACACAGAAGGGTAGCTGGTTTGATTCCCATTCAGGGTACATATCTAGGTTTCTGGTTCAAACCCCAGTCAGAGTGTATACCAGACACAATCCATCAATCCAATCGATGTTTCTCTCTCACATCGATGTTTTTCTCTCTCTCTCTCTCCATTCCTCTTTCTCTAAAATCAATATATATATATCTCCATCCATCCATCCATCCTCAGGTGAGGATTTTTTTAAGTCAACTTTATGAGAACATTCCTATCACTAACTTACTTCTCACTACTTTTATAAAATAGAAACCTGTTTTAAAATCTATCCATCTTAGTACAATCCAAAAACAAAAATTGATAAATTTGACTTAAACATTTTCACTCTTTGAAAGATACTGTTACAAGAATGAAAAGACAAGCTCAAGACAGAGGAAACTATTTGCAAATCGCATACCTGAAAAAAGATTTGTATCTGAATATATAACAAAATCTCAGAACCCAACAAAACGAAAACCCAACTGAAAGCTGGGCAATAGACACCGCACAAAGAGGATGTAATGATGGCCAACTATGCACACGAAAAGATGTTTAATGGCATTAGTCAGCAGAGAAATTCACTTTAAAACCATGATTAGCCATTACTACATACCTATTAGAATAGCTACATTTAAAATACAGTGGGGCCTTGACTTACGAGTGTCCCGACTAACGAGTTTTTCGAGATACGAGCCGTCTCTCGGCCGATTTTTTGCTTTGAGTTGCGAGCTAAAATTCGGGTTACGAGCCAGCTTCAGATACCCCACCGCTAGTTGGCGCAGCGAACATCACAGTGAATGCCACAACATCAGCCCAGCATCACCTGTCTCACTCGTTCACTACTTGATTTGACATACCAGTAATCTGAGTTACGAGCTCCGTTACGGAATGAATTAAACTCGTAAGTCAAGGCCCCACTGAATTGATAATATCAGAGTTGTGGAATAACTGGAACTCATATAGGTTGCTATTGGAAATATAGATTATACAGCCACTCTGAAAGAAAAGTTGACAGTTTCTAATAAAGTTAAAAATATACTTACTAAATATTTTTAACTTTATTAGAAACTGCCAACCTTAATCAATAAAGAAAAAAATAATAATAAATGTAAATCATCGCCGAAACCAGTTTGGCTCAGTGGATAGAGCGTCAGCCTGCGGACTGAAAGGTCCCCGGTTCGATTCCGGTCAAGGCCATGTACCTGGGTTGTGGGCACATCCCCAGTAGGAGATGTGCAGGAAGCAGCTGATCGATGTTTCTCTCTCATCGATGTTTCTAACTCTCTATCTCTCTCCCTTCCTCTCTGTAAAAAATCAATAAAATATATATTTAAAAAAATGTAAATCATTAATTGATGATAGCCATTCTGACAGTTGTTGGGAGGTATCTCATTGTGGTTTTAATTTGCACTTCTCTGATAATTAGGGATGTTGAGCATCTTTTCATGTGTCTATTGGCCACACTACTTGGGTATAAAAAAGAAAGAAATCTTACTTTTTTCCACAGCGTGGATAGACTTGGAGAGTATTATGCTAAATGAAATAAGCCAGTCAGAGAAAGACAAATACCACAGGATTTCACTTTTGTGTATAATCTAATGAATAAAATAAATGAACAAACAAAATAGAAACAGACTCATAGATACAGAGAACAGACTGACAGCTGTCAGAGAAAAAGGTGAAGGGATTAAGGAAAAAAAAATTTTTTTAAATACTAATAGTCTCAGGCAACAGTATGGTGATTATCAGAAAGAAAGGGGGGTGATGGGAGGTAGAAGAGGGTAAAGGGGAGATAAATGGTGACGAAGTTTTAACTTTGGGTGGTGAGCACACAATACAATAAACTGATGGTGTATTATAGAATTGTACACTTGAAACAAATTATATATACTAATATATAATTTTATTAACCAAAGTCACCCCAATAAGTTCAATAAAAATTTTAAAACAATGTAAAAAATATATATATACTTACTATATGACCCAGCAATGCCCTCCCCCCACAGACAACTACCCTAGAGAAATGAAAACATGTTCACACAAAAATCTGTACCCAAATGTTTTTATTTTTAGCAGCTCTATTCATAACTGCTAAAAACTGGAAACAACCAAAATGTCTTTTAATGAATGACAATGGAAAAGTACTCAATAATAAAAAGGAATAAACTTTCAATACATGCAATAACTTAGATGAATCTCAAAGACAAAGTCAAAGAACTCAGTCTCAAAAGCTTAAATACTGCATGATTCCATTTATATGATATTCTGAAAAACGACAAAGCCATAGGAATGAAGAAACGGTCAGTGGTTGCAGGGATTATGGGATGGAGATGGGTAACTATAAAAGGATAGCATGAAGGGGTTTTAGGGTGATGATACTATTCTGTATCCTTATTGTGGTGATGGATACACACACTACACATATGTTCAATTAATAGAACTGTATACCAAAAATTTTAAAGTCAATTTTACTGTATGATAATTTTTAAAATAAAAATTTTTCAATTATTTTAAAAATATGAATCTCAGTGTCACAATGGACATGTGTTTTAAAAAGTGAAAAGAAACAGATTCAGGAGGATAAGTTTGCTGTTAATAAATGGAAAATCTATACATTTCCCTTCCCACACATGTAGGTTTTAGAGGCAAGAATGGAAACTCAGAAAAAAATGTCTCCAAATAGAACAATCATTGAGTTCACTTGGCACAAAATGTAAAATACATTTGAAAATTCTGTTGTAGCTAGATAATTGGTTCAGGAGAAAAAGTAAATATTGGAAGAAAAATTAAATCAATAGTACACCAAAGAGCCCTAACCAGTTTGGCTCAGTGGATAGAGCGTCAGCCTGCGGACTCAAGGGTCCCAGGTTCGATTCCGGTCAATGGCATGTACCTTGGTTGGGGGCACATCCCCAGTAGGGAGTGTGCAGGAGGCAGCTGATCGATGTTTCGCTCTCATCGATGTTTCTAACTCTCTATCTCTCTCCCTTTCTCTCTGTAAAAAATCAATAAAATATATTTTTTTAAAAATAGTACACCAAAGAGACTTGACTTGGGGTGGCAAACACACAATATAATATACAGATGATGTATTATAGAATTGTACACCTGAAACCTATATAACTTTATTAACCAATGTCACCCCAATAAATTCAATTTAAATTTTTTTAAATAAATAAAAATGTTTACAAAAATGGTGCACCACAGAGGGGGTAGGCAGACTGGCCTGGACTAAGACAGTTTCAATAACAGATTGTAAGAAAAGAGCATCATTCTCCTCCCACTATGACTTCTTTCTATAACAACATGAAAATAACCACCAGACCACCTTGAAATCAAGTCATGAGATGCACTTTTATTTTTTAAAAATCAGTTATCTTCCTTAACTTTTCTTGTTAATGTAGTCATGGTCCTCTTTTATTTCAAAAGACCTAAACCTTA